TGAAATAGAGAAAGAAAGAGTACAAAAATACTTTCTATACTTTCTATATTGTATTAATTTTTAATAATTTTATGTTTCTAACAGTAGTTATTTATAAAATTTTTTAATGCATATTGTGAGATATTAGAAAAACAAGCTAATTATAAGTCTTGTATATTTTGATATGCAAATAATTTTATTATAAACAATATTTTAATAAACAATATTTTCAAAAATCAAAGACAACACATTTTTCATTATTTTTGCAAAACATTTATTTAATATTTATTTAATAATGTCGATATTGGTAGAGATTCTCTACGACTACGTTTTTTTAATTTTGGCTTTAATAATCTATTTAAATTGTCAAATTGTTCCACTGACATTCTTGTAAGTTTGAAAAATTCTTCGTGATTATTCATTTGGAAATATATAAATAATGCATGATGAGCACCAAAATTTTGTCTCATATTTCTAGTAATATGGGATTTTACCCATCATCTTCTTGTAATTCTTCCTTTTTTACGCTTTCTTAAAAGTAATTTCAGTCTTATAATTTACATCTAAATAAGTAATAAATTTGAATAAACATTCAACGTTTCAATTTCCATGATTCCGACTTGCGACGCAATTGTAGACTAGCAAGTTGTACCCGACATACTATATAACACAGCCGACACGAAAAATAAAGGTTATGTGCATGCACGACTGATGTAGACTTGTAGACTAGGGATGCGTTTCTTGTATGATGCATAAAAGATATAGAAGCATAAAAGTTCATTCCGTTTCTCTTCATGTACACTCGCTATTGATTCACACATGCACTGATTCAACCAATTGCATGATCCCGTCTCTTCCGGTGCATGAGACTGAATGAAGTGCCTCATCTCTCGAGTTGAGGCAGTTCATGCAACTTATGCATTCAACATATTTTAGCGCAAAACTGAAATCATGGGTGATTCGCCTGGAGCGAGTGTACTCAAAATCATATAAAGGTTAAAGACACGTAAGTAGGGTGTTCAGAATACCCAAAAATTTTTTAATTTAACATTTCATATATACATATATTATATAATATATATACGGTATAATACTCTGGTATTATCGAAAAATTATGTGTATACTGATATTATGAAAATTTCGATTTTGAACTAGTATTTGGATCTCGGTTTTGCGTATACCGCTATAGAATATCGATTTTTAGTCTCTGCTTTATATAATACTGAAAAATTAATATATTGATGTATTATCGCGATTTTTCATATCATTTTAAATTCCTGAATATAAAATAGTAGATTGTGATAAAGGTTAAGTTTACATTAGTCATATTCTTACAAGATAGAGGAAAGTAAAAATAACGGACTTTAAGGATGTTTTGTATGTATAATTGTAGCAAAAAGTTTCTGAAATTTGATTTTGACGAATATGTACATTTTATGGTTTGAATAATAAGATTGTATACAGAATCTTATTCATAATTAAAATGCAGAAATGTATTTTTGAATTTCTACTGCTAACTATTTCTGAAGAAAATGAAAAATTTTTGGCAGTGACAGTATCTCAAATCTAAAATATTTATATTTTAAACTCTAACTTCAAGTTGCTTCACAATGAATCGATTTCAGATTTTGTTATAAGTGTTTGGACATATGTAAGAATAATCTGTAAAATTTTTGTTAAATTTCTAATATTTTAGAAATAGATATTAAACATACTTTTTGGACATTTTGGTAATACGTTTATTTTTCTTTTCCTGCAGAATTATAAGTGCTTCGAAAAATATAAATCTTCTTCTTTTATCAAAAAAGAAGATGTAATAGTAATTATTGAATTCATTTGTAATTCAGTTAATTTTAAATTGTCCATGTTCATTACATGAATTCATTGTGAATCCATTCCGTTACTAAAACTGCATGGAGTGTATTGGAGAAACGGAACGTACTCTGTACTCCATGCACTAAATAGTCATGCGCTTCATGCAAGAAACGGAACTCATCTCAAGAATCTTGCCACATTGGCTATGACGCTGGCACTAATATATGATGTCAAGATCATAACTTTGAATAACATTTAATCATCAGTCGAACATTTTAAATAATGCTAAAATTTATTGAATTTTTTGAGATTTTTCAGAGTTTCCATTATACTTTTATTCCATTCTATATATTATAGACAGGATTGAGTAGTACTAGTTAAAATGTTAAAAAAAAAGTTAAAAAGTTAATAATTTTTAACTTAGTTAATTTTAAATGCATTAAATTTTAACTTAACTAAGTTATTTTTAAACGTTAATTTTTTAACTTTTTTTTAAGTTAAAAAATTTTTTTATCTCTTTTAAATATCTTAGAAAAATAATAAGATATAATAAGAGTGTATATTTGTAATCTGTTCACATTTTAAGACCATCTTAAATAATTTCTTGAAATGCTAATACAGCCCTCTGATTGGTTTATATGGTTATGCCTTATGCCATAAGCCATAGTCCGAATCTACAATAGGTGTTTTAAACTTTAAGTCATAAGAAATTGACAGTCAAATATTCTTCTGGCATTCGATTATAATTGGTCAATTTCTTATGGCTTAAGACTTATTAAAAAGTAATCACTGATCTTGTATCTTCTCTATATGGCTGTTTTTTTAAGTTATAAGTATATAACATATAACGATATAATTTATATAGTTATGTGTTATATACATATCACATGAATGAATAAAAAAATTAAAAATTTAATTTACTTAATAATCTATATTGTAATTATTTAATCTCATTTTAAGAAAAATTACGACATTTTGATCTAAAAAATAATTTTTTTTGAAATTAACTTTTTTTTAACTTAAGTTAATTCAATATTAACTTATGTTAAGTTAATTTTTTATTCCTTCAACTTTTAACTTAACTTTATTAATTTTGTAAAGCCATTAACTTTAACTTTATTTAATTAAAAAAAAACTTACCCAATCCTGATTATAGGATTGCAATCTTAGAACATGTACTACTGGAAGCAGAATTGAGCGCTGAAAGTGAAGTCACATCTGTGCGAAAGAGAAAGCTATAGAGTCTCAGTTGATTGTAAAGCTCTAAACACAATGTGAGACAACAGCAACAGAAATAGAATGAGAACAGAGGAATCCAATGAGAATGCATATGTCAATGTACATATGAACACGGAATAAAAAAATAGCGATAAATTTCCGACGAGTTGGAATTCTGTGTCTATCATCTTATAGCCTACCAATCAGCGTTCAGATTTTTCTGTTTATGGCTACGGTCCACTTGATATTACAAATGCTTCGAAATTTTTGATTGACCAATCAAAAGAAAGAATTTTATTAACTGACCAATGCTTCAAGTGGATCGCACTCTATGACCTTGGGTGCGTTCGGAAATCCTACTTTGAGTAGAAATGTTACCAACCGCCGTTTGAAAATTGACTCGGATTTTACAAAATTGCATTCGGAAATATCGAATAAAATCACTAAGTCATACTTTACAGTAGCTTTTTCAAATTTCTTATAATAGCTTTTCAAATTAGCTTCTGAAATTTTTGAGGTTAACAGAATAAATCCGCTCCATTACTTTAACGTGAAGTAATATGGGCGCAAATAGACTAAAGATTGCTAAAGATGGAACAAAACAAAACTATCGTTTCTTTCAACATTTATAAATATTTCTAACAGTCTACGGCCAGCTATTACTATAGAAAATATTATACTATATAATATATTTTATTTCGGAATTATAGATTTCGACATTGTTACCTTAAAATCTTACTCTAAAAATTTTTTCTGAAAATCGTTGAACATAGTGCTACTCTACTGACTTTTTAAGTTTACTCATGCTCTATCCTACTTTATCCTACGAGTAGATTTTCGAACACACTTCTTGAAGCGGATGAAAGAATATACTACAGTCAAAGAAACCTGAGAGAGATCATGGCGGCCTTTTTCGCGTGACTGATGAAAGTCACCGTACGCTAGCATCAACATCAATTTTATAAATTGATGTGAACTACATATCACATTTTCGCCACTGTTCATAAAATCGTAGTGTTAATAAATGAATTGGTGTTACATTCATAAACTGTGAATAAAGATAATATTAATTTACAAAAACATTTTCTTTTAATCAGATAAGATGTTTTTTAGATTTTTGGATGCTGAAAACGATGTCGCAAATTAAATTTCACTAGCACGTCAGATTTTCGAAATAACTGAGATTTAAGTGCAAAAATGATTCTTTTGTTTCAAATGTTCTTGTAAAAATAGATTAATGTTATCTCGAAATTGTAATCAGAAGTCATGAATGTATTGTTTATATTCTCTACAAAATGTATTCTTTTTATCTCAATATCTTATTTTTTAATTGCGTTATAAAAAATTCAAGTACAAAGTTTTTCTAGTAAATTTTCCGCTTTTAACAATGAAATCATTATACTTATAA